GGGGGGGGGGGGGGGGGGGGTGTACTTATAGTCGTGCATGCCGTAGTCGTTAGACCATTGACCTCGCATCCCTACAAAGCCGGGACGGAGCACGCCGGGTTCTCACCGGACCAGGCTCTCACATCACCAAGCGCGAAGCGCCGTGAGGTATTCGGCGAGTCGCATGAAGGGTGCGCTGCATCCTGCTAAGGGTGTTCGGCATCTTGTGCTTACTTCCTTGCGTACGGATGACAGCTGCGTATGACTTAATTTATTTTCTGGTGCTTTCACTTCCAGAGACAGTTGTAAGCACTGTGTAACTGCCTCGAGGATGCTTTATTTACCATTTTAACACAACGTGGTGCGACCATCCCCCTTGCGCAGAGTGAGGGTTCTCGACCCCGCACAACATGATCTACTCGACCACCATTTATTATGGCTACCACCGCAAAAAAAAAAACAGAGGGAAAAAAAAATAACGGTCATAATAATAACAAAACCAACCTGGTTGCCGAGTTCACGAAGTGAATTGGCTTGTTTTACAACGTCATTACCAAGCGACGAAAACCCAATCAATCCCGATGGCAATCACCGAGGGGGGGGGGAATGGTTCAAATCTCGCTGGGTGCCCTTGTTCTTTTTCTTTTCTGAATTATTGTGTGAGGTTTTCCGTAGAAACGACAAGTGACGACCTTGCATCGTCGGAATGCCAAACAGTCACACCACTGCTGGCTGCAGAGACGCCAGACGTCAGCCTGCACCACTGGTTATATATGACCCATATATATTATTTCTCTTTTTCTTTTCTTCTTTTTGGTTCTGTCATGTCCCTTTTCGGTGGAACCTCTTTAATCTTTCCCGTGATACTGCCGTGATGCCGTGATGGCGCCTCTCCTGCCCACACACCACGCACACTGCCCCAACGTCCAGCAGAGCAATGAGCGCGTTATATGGGAAGCCCGTGTAGAGCACACCTCTTTTTGTTCAGATTTCACTACAGTACAGCCAGGTAAGAACCGCCATATTTTGATGGTACCGGGACCGCCGAAGGCAGTACCGCCATATTTTGGTGGTACCGGGAACCGCCGAAGGTAGGTGTCCACGTCATCCCGTGTCATGCGATCGATCGATGATGATGATGTGGTTTTCGTTGTTTTGGGAAGATTTTTTGAAGAAATCTTGCGCGACGCGGAAGCTAATAGTACTTCACTGCTGTTGCTGACATCCTGTCGGCTTGTGTTTCTTGCGGAGGGAGGGTGGCAGTAGTGCTTGCGCCAAGCGCTCTGAGATTCGAAACAGTTGAGTCTACATATCTCTTTTTTTCTTCACCAGCGTCCGAGCGAGCGCGAGTCCCTGCTGCGTCCACGTCATAAATTTTCAGGGTATACGTCGGTACCGTTTTTTTAGGCGGATACAGGCGCGGCTGTATTTCAATGTGGCGGTACTTTTTTTGGCGGATCCTGGTACTTCGTTTTCCGGCCGTACCACCTTGCTTGGCGGTTCCCGGTACTGCAAAATATGGCGGTATTTTTCTGGCGGTACTGAAACATGGCGGTACCGCAGCTCGGATACTGGGAAAGATAAAGAGGGATTGATTGTAGATCCAACTGCTTCGAACGTCATACTTGGAGCGCTTGGCGCAGGAGCAACACGCTGTTTCCGCAAGAAACGCAAGCCGAAGATCTCACAACCGCCCAAAGATTTGTGGGTCGGGCATCGCGCACGATAAAATGCGGCGAAACTACATTACCCGGACCTCGTGAACCACAGTCCCGCGGTCTGTGATTGGCCGAGCTGTAGTTGATGTCATCTGGATGGCGGCGTTCGACCTTCTCTCCGAGTTGACAGCCCACACGCCCCCGCCACCTTCGCTTACTCCGTTTTCTGCCCACCACATCCTAAACCTTTCTTTTCCCGCACCACCACCTCACATCAAGATGAAGTCCTGTGTTGTAGCCGTTGCCTGCGTGGCCGGAGCCCAAGCCTTCGTGGCACCCAGGTGAGAGCGCAGCTGTTTGGAGGCTTGCTTGATCGCATGTGCTGGGTTGCTGTGATATCATATCCTGTCTTTCTACACGTCAACGTGATCATGCGCCCATTTGTAGGTCGCGGTGATGCTACTATTCTATCTCATGAGCTCCTCGTCTGTCTCATAGTCTAGCCGCTCTCCTGCTGTTCTGGAGAGTCCGCTTCAAGTTTCAGAGTTCGATGTCCAGAGAAGTTCGTAGCCTCCACGCCCGTTCTTCTGTTGCTTCGAAAGAACTATTTAACCCTTACGTGACTACACCCCCGATGCTGCTGTCCTTGTACCTTCCTTTTCTCGAACGCGCTTATTTCTAGCAGCGGCTCGGTAACAGCGTCTCGATGTGTAGAGTATGGGGACAGCGAGTTGTATCAACGAGAACAGCTTTTGGCAAGAGACTCCATCTGCATGTGCGTACGTTCTCACTCATGGATACCTCGCTCCTTGCGCACTGCACACGCACGACGCTGTCTGGACACAACGACCCGCGATTCAGTGCTTTGAGATAAACAAACAAGGTTGTGTATAATGCAACAGCAGCGGCGCTCGCGTTTGAAAATTCACGAGGCTGCGTCGATGCCACTCAACAGACTCAAGTCCTCCAACGTATTTCACGTGTCAGCTGTTGAACCTCTGATTTCGCGGGGATTTCGCGAACAGGAGCACCTTGCTTTTTTTGTTTGTTTTATGTGTTCGCCGACACACCCTCTCACACCTATTACTGCCGTTAGTTATGCATATTAATCGGCATAAATTGGAGGGAGCCACCAACCAGTATTTTCCACCTTTCCTCTTGCGGTGCTTGCTTTCACTCCACGAACATTCGAACCCACTCGGAGCTGCGTAGGGACATGCAGTAGTTCCTGTATGCTACACATGAAGGCAGAAGGATTGAAGTTTCACGGGGCCACCAGACGAGCTATTTTTCATCCAGTCCGGTCAGGTGTATACGATTGCACAAGGGTGATACAAATAGCATACCCCAACAACCGCAACAATCCCAACACCTTCCGGGCTAGCATACAGAGGCAGAGAGATACATGACGGCTACGAAACCGTCTCGTTGAGCCTGTTACCCACAGGGGAGATAGCGCTGTATGTTGCTCGGTACTTCGTGGATATATAGGTAGCTTCCGCTGACATCGCTAATCCAACTCACCTCTGTGGTCAAACATCTCGCCTGAACAGACTCTTGTTACGTCCCGAGGGGGATACAATTAATTAAGAGTGGTGGCTTGCGTTCATTCATCAAGAAGACCTCTCTCAGTTCTTTCTCTCTCCCACTGACTTGCTCCCACGACTGCTGTAAGTCTGTGCCTCCTCTCTCTCTATCTACTATGTCGTCGTCGGTTCCGATTTTGACCAACCGTGCAAACCAAAAACCGCAAGTAAAATGTATTTGTAGTGAGTATTCATCTCTTCGATTAATCTCTTGTTATTTCTTCAGCAGGTAGTCTATGAGGTATGGGTGGGTATGTATTCATTTAGACTCTTTTGTATAGATCAGGATGGATTCGTTGTGTCATACTAAGAAAAGAGAGTATGGTTTTGTCCCATGACCAAACTTACTTGTCGTTCCCCACAACGGGAGACGTGGACTAGTCGCAAGACAGCGCCTTTCTCACGACCGAACGCCTCTGTTGTACTTGCATAACGTATTCCCCTCACGACTGCTAGTCCCTTTCATATTGGGCGTCAGGTCCTTTGGAAATATTCTTGAACTTAATGAAAGGGAGTTTGAAATGATCCGCCAGTGCCTGCTCTCAGCTTTTCAATCTGCTTGAAATAGTTTCCAGAATCTAATCCCTGTCCCCGTTTCACTTTTTCCCTCTCCTCCCCTTTTCCCTGTTTTCCCCCACTTTCGACCACCCCCACCAACTAAACACCACAGCGCGTTCAACGGCGCCGCCGTGGCCACCCCGGCCAAGTCGTCCTCGGCCATGAAGATGTCGTTCGAGTCGGAGATCGGCGCGCAGCCCCCCCTCGGATTCTGGGACCCGCTCGGCCTCCTCGAGGACGCGGACCAGGAGCGGTTCGAGCGCCTCCGGTACGTGGAGGTGAAGCACGGGCGCATTGCTATGCTCGCCATCGCCGGTCACCTGACCCAGCAGAACACCCGGCTCCCCGGCATGCTCTCGAACTCGGCGAACCTGTCGTTCGCGGACATGCCGAACGGCGTGGCCGCTCTGTCTAAGATCCCCCCGGCGGGCCTCGCCCAGATCTTCGCGTTCATCGGCTTCCTTGAGCTGGCTGTGATGAAGAACGTGGAGGGCTCGTTCCCTGGAGACTTCACCCTGGGCGGCAACCCGTTCGGGTCCTCGTGGGACGCGATGTCGGAGGAGACCCAGGCATCGAAGCGCGCGATCGAGCTGAACAACGGGCGCGCGGCACAGATGGGCATCCTGGCCCTGATGGTGCACGAGGAGCTGAACAACAAGCCGTACGTGATCAACGACCTCCTTGGCGCGGGATACACCTTCAACTAGATTTCTAGTCCGTGCGTCGTTCAGACCTTTTGCACCGGTTTTGTTGCTGGGCGCGCTTTTGTGAATAGCGGTGACGTGTTGTGACTATGTTTTATTGTTTTTTTGTTTAGAATTCTGCGATGGGGGGAGGGGGAGCCTCTTCTTTCCTAGACCGAGAACCGGATGATGCTTTGGCGCCGCGGCGTTCTATTTTCATTTAGGCTCATAGAAGCGGTGTCATGTCGACGGATGTAGAAAATACCGACCGTGTATTCCGTGGTTGGTTCGTGCGGTGCACCGTCGTGCGTGAGGCTTGCGGTTACTGTTCGGAGGCGAGGGTGCTAGGAGATTGGGGCCCATGTTGTTGGTGTTTTGTGTCAACTGCGCCTGGCGTTGCGACACTTGACATTGTGGATGGCGCCGGTAGATGCTGTTGCCCGTTTTGCTCTGTTGGTTTTGTCGAGTCGTCGTGTCAGGCTTGACCATGATGCGTACACTGGAGAGGCGTGCTGCGTCGACACCTCTTTGAACTGAACTGGTGTATGTGAATGAAAGCAACACTTTGAACCGAACACCCAAACAAGCTTGCACTGCTGCTGTGCTTGCAATTGCTGTCGATGTGTTTTTGATTGGTGTAGCCTGTCGATGATGTGTAGCACATCTCCTGCAGATGCACCAGCACGTGAGGAGGATTTGACTGAGAACAGAGTGTCCTTGGATGTTTGATCCATGGGCTGTGCCCTGCCATTCACGAATCGACCGTTTGTGAAACAGCTTACTCATCACGAAGGGATTTCTGCCTCTCCCCTTCCTGGTTTATGTCGGGAGGGCGAACACATGGATGGAGCGGGTTAATCTTGTGCCATATTTCGCACATGACATGCTGTTGCGCCCGACAACGTCTAGATGCTTCGTATTGGCGACCTCGGTCCGAAGCGTAAGACAACACGTACGTGCCGTTGACGTTGTGGACACATGCACCGGGTAAGCTACCTGTCGAGGCACATCGTACACCGTGATAGAATAGTGTCTTGACACTCGGTGGTGGAACTCCCGTGATGAGTTTATTTTCTTTCTTCACTTGAGGATAACTTCGCAGGCTCCCTCCGTAACGTGTACAGATAGAGCCCGCAAGAGTTTTAAAGAAAACTTGCGTTAGGAAAAAAGGCTAAGCTTTGAAATACGAAGAAAGGGCCAAGAAACATAGCTCGATCTCGGCCACAACGTAAGAAACGCCCCAATAACCAAGCATGGTGCGATACCCCCCATGACACCAGCAATCTTCGGTGCTCCCACCCCCCTACCTAGCTGAATAGGGTTGGTGCAGTTGTTTGTTATAGGCTCAAGAATTCTGGCATTTTTTTTCTAATCTTCTACGTGAAAAATGATGAAAACCCGAGACAATATAGATCACATGTAGACGAACCGTACCTCCACTCTTCTGGGTCCTGCCCCTACGATGTCCCTATACGATACTCGAATTCACGACTCAGCCAATCCGATACGAGAATAGCCTCTTCCAAGCTATCTGAAAACCACGCCACTGTGCAGGCTGAGTGTACTGTTTTACTCTCATCTTCCTCCTGTAAGTCCCACGGAAACCGCTTCTGCTCCTTCTCCCGCTTCCCTTACGTACACCATGAACGCTCGCGACTTCCAGCGCCCAGCCCGCTGAATCTGTAAGTCCGACACGCCTTGCGCGGCTAATTGCGTGGCGCCACCAATGCGACCCGAGTGCAATGCGTACTGTGCCGGATCCTTCCCTGCACAAGCAACCATCCTCCTCAGCGCGACTACAGCTTCCACGCGAGTAACCACCTTCCACCCAGATGCACCCATCCTCGTCATCAAAGGGGCACGTCCGGGAAGGCTCGGGTGTACGTTCAGGAGCTCCACGATCGCTTCGAAGGCTCCGAAAGGCGCCCTACCAGATTCCTCCGACTTCGGGCTGCGGGTGCGTGTAATCGTGCATCCCTCTCGATTCTGATCTGCTTTTGACGCCACGAAATGAATCCTGACTGAATCCACGCGCGCTCTATCTTCAGCCTCCATTTGAATGTCTCCTTGAAAGAACCTCAAGTAGTCACGCGTCAAACAGAAATAAATCTGGATGGACGAGGCCGTTCGCGTACGCGAACAATTCCGAAGCTCGGCACAGGAGAAAATACGACAGCGTCAGTCCTAACCAGAAAACTTTTCCTCTTTCCTCCATCCGGAGCACTCGCAACCGTGTGGAAGCCTTGCGACAACATCGACCACGTGAGGGGCAACCTCACTTGCGCTTGCTTGCCCGTCATCCCTCGAATGCGATCAATCCCTTTCCCTGCCGCCGTAATCATACAGTGCGACGTGGGAGGCTCCCACCCTGTACATAGCTTATGGTAAAACTTGATAGCCGCAAGGTATCCCCGAACTGTGGACTGCTGGTTGTTGAACGAAAACAAAACGACACGTCATAAATTCGAGGAGGAGCGCGATGATCTCGGGCTCGTCCATCGAAATTCAACCATGGTTCTTTGCCCTTGTGTTTCATAAATTCCAACCACGTCTTCCACTTCGCGGCATACACCTTGTGCGTGCTGCCCCCGATCGACGCGCTCACTAAAGTATCCACCAACCGCGCGACTTCCGTGCTCATCCCCCCTCCTTCCTGCCCTGTTCCTGAAGCGTCCGTAAGCGGAGGGTTCGAGGAAACGTTGGAGGTCACGGGGGTTGTTTGGTCGATGATTTTTAGTGAGGTGTCATCATGAGATTCCACAACGTTCGATCGTGACGGGGTTGTAGGTTCTTTTTCTGCAGTACGAAGGAACACACTTTTTCTCCGCGTGAACCGAGTGGTATCTCACGCCAATCGTTTGTGTTGGTGAATTGTCGGACCCTATCGGCTAGTTCCGACCTCGGCCATCGAGAGATCCCGTCCGCGAGCGTGTTTTTTACGCCCGGGAGGTGTCTTGCCTCGTAACTCCATTCTCCCGAAATCTCGAGTCGTCCTAGCATTCTCATCATCAAACACGCGCGTTTGTCTCTGGCCCCGCCGCACCGGTTTGACCATGTGACGGCCGCCATGTTGTCACCGCGCATCAAGACAGGGTCGTTGTTATTTTGTGGGCGATCCCCTACGAGACTGTGCATTACCCAGGCGGTCACTACCACGCCCAGGAGTTCGAGTAGATTGATCGTGACGCTGCAGGTCTCCCGACGCGCGGCCTTTTGTTTCAATTCAGTTGCGAAGTCCAACGGCAAGTCGTGTCTCCAAAACACCCTTTTCTCTGGACAGAAGCCGCCAATGGCGTCGAAACTAGCGTCTGATAGATAAAGTCGATTTGGCTGGCGTTTTACGACACCGTAGCACGGGGCGTTCAGCGACTCTCCAGCTGTGAGCAATTCGTGTTCGATTTCCCCCCTGAAAAAATCCAGGTCGTCGTGGAACTCTCTCCCTAGTTCTACAACGTGGCTACAGTTTCTCGTGTGTTTCCTGTGGAGTCCTGTGAGTCTCAACAACCTCCAGACGAAGTACTTTCCGGCCCGAACCACGTACGTGAGGTTCCACAGCTTCCCGGCTATGCTAAACACTTCTTGCGCTGTCGCTTCACGCTTGTGGCGCGGCCAGTCGATTTCTAAGGCTGTTCTTATCGCCTCTGCTTTCTTCGTCGTCAAAGAGATTTTTAGCTCGTGCGAGTCGATGACGAACCCTAAGAATTCAAGCTGCGTGTCCCAGTTCAAACTCTTCTTCGGCGCGAGTATAGGAGTCTCCCCCGGTTCTCCCGGGCCGAACAAGCGAACGTAGTCTGATGCTAAAGACGCGGACACAGTCAGCGCTGACAGGTCGTCGGCCGATTGCTGGGTTCTCAGGAGGCCGTGATCGTGATCATCTACGTAAACGACTGACGTGAAATTGCTCGACCGATCGCCTCCTTTTTGTGGCGTGAACTGTGGCGTCATCCGGCACGGGCGTAGGGTCGCCTTCCTCCCACGGTTCGATGATTCTTACGTGATTATTCATGTTTACTCCTTCGGGCAGCAACTGCACGTTGTCGAGATTGGTATTACAGTGCGAGTGTTCAGCCGCGGATGCCATAACTCCGAAATGTCCCAGGGAGCCGGTCCAACCGAAAGTCAGGCGGAAATCGATGACGACGAGGTCGTCGACTACGTAGCTGAAGTTGTGTGCGTGCTCAGGTTCTACTCGAACGTTGCGATAGGCGTCGTTGACGTCCGTCGTTGACATGAGGATGCGGAGCTTTGGGTTTTTGGCTCGCAGGCTAACTAGCTCCGACAGGAATTTTGGCAGGGCTTCGGCGCAGAGGCTAGGGGGTACACGGTCGACGTCTGTGTCAGCGTTGAGTCCTCCTTTTACTCCTTTGTTTTCAGCGTCGAAAGGCAAGTCGTTGATTATCCTAACCTTGTGGGTAACGACCGCTCCCAACGGCGACACGCGCAGGTTTGGGATTTCATACGCCGCCGATTTTTGAATAACGAGGCATCTCTCTCTACGTACGTCCTCTGCGAGTTTTTTCCAAATGACTGGTAGGTGCTCGTCAGCCGACCGGTGGTTTCCGAAGTTCAGTGCGCCTGCAAGGTCGGCTTTGGACGGGGGGGCAAGCACTGGTACCCCTCCAGTAACGATTGTCATCAGCTCTTCGATCTGTGAAAACCTTTCAGGTCCCCGAAATATTGTCTGACGTGGTTCGGGTCTACCGGTGGTGTAACCAGGGTTCCGCCGAGCGACCGTGCTACCTTCCCTACCGAACCACGATTGTCTCGCATCATTTGCGTGCAAACCTCTGCTAGTTGATACAGAATTCGTTCTCTCTCTGGTTGTTCGAGGTTTGTTTTTCCGAGTGTTGCTCTGTCCTCGTGCCACCTCGCCACGTGTTTTCGCTGTGTTTCACTGCGCCCTTGGCCATTGGGAATCGATGATGACCCGACGTGGGGAGGGCTACGATGACGCAAGACTCGCTGTTCCGTGCTGTTGGTCGAGCGCAGTCCTACGGAGGTTGTGTATTGCGCTGGAGCTGGTGCGTGGGGGTGAAGTGTGCGTGGTGCGTGAGAGACGGTTGTCGTCGTAGTGCCGACCCTTGGACCTTTGCTGGTAGGGTGGGACTTCGAGGACAGGTCGCGTCTGACGCGTCAGGCGCGGTGACCGAAGTGAGAAGCGTCGATTGTGCTCGTCTGGTACACCTGCCTCGTGGGATTGTGTGCGAGACGGGTGATGCGTCGCCGCTGACGCGTTCAAGGCTGCTAGCGGCGTTGGAGACGTTGGCTGCAGCGCGTCTGACGCTGAAAACCCCGGGGGGCGTGTGAGAGGCGAGGCGAGCCCTGTGTCCGAAACGCCGACTTCTACGCGTTGTGGGAGAGACGAAAGTCTCCCTGTGTCCGACACACCTACGTCTGCGGGTTGTGTGGGAGACAGGTGACATGACATGTCTACCATTCTGGTCAGCGGTGATGCCCGTCGGCCTGCTTCGCGTGTTCGTGGCGGGATCTCGTCAATTCGTGTAGGAAAACGGTGGTTGTGTCAACATTTCGAGGGCGCCGGGCCTGGAGTGTGGGGACAACCTACTATCCGATCGTACAGGTGGGCGAGATTCGGCTACGTCGAGGTTTGTGGAGCTACCAGACGGGTTCGTGTGGTTAGTCCACCTATACCTTGCTGCGCGACCGTATATTGCTCAACTTGAGTTGCTCACCGTGAAACAGGGCCGGCGAAACCGACCCCGGCGTGGGCGCGTCCCGAGGCCCCACGGACCTGGCGACGTCGGCGAACCAGGTACCAGCGTGTCCTGACTCCCCTCCCGCACCTACTGTCGGCCCTGCCGTATGGCAGAGCCCAACCTGTCAGAAACCTCCCCTCCCCCCACCACCCCTCCCCCCACCACCCCTCCCTCCGGCGCCGCGCCCCTGGTTCCCTCCTCCACCGACCCTGCCACCGTTGACCGTCATGCTGAAGTTGCCCACACTGGGCTGACGGAGTTGCGGCTGCTGCTGCTGCTGCTGCTGCTGCTGCTGCGATCGTAGCGGCTGCGGCGCCGCCACCTGCTGCGGCGGGGCCTGCGGGGGTGGCGGGACCTGCGGGGGTGGGGAAGCGGCGGAGGTTGCGGGGGAATGCCGCCGGCGGGTTGTTGCTGCTGCTGTGGCTGCTGCTGCTGTTGTGGCTGCTGCTGCTGCTGCTGCTGCTGCTGCTGCTGCTGCTGCTACTGCAGGATCTGTCCCTGCTGCGCCACCTGTTGGTGTAAGGCCGCCATTTGAGCTTGGTGAGCGTTCATGAACTGGGTGAGCATGGCCTGGATACCGCCGAGTGGGTTCGCGCCGGCACCCTCCTCTGGTCCGTTGTTTGCAGGGGGGGCGTCGCCGCCGTTGTGCTCGGCTGCCGGGGGAGCGGCTGCAGCTGCGGCTGCGTCGGCGGCTGCGACAGCGGCTGCGGCAGCGTTTACAGCGGCGGCAGCGTCTGCGGCGGCGGCGTTGGCTGCGGCGGCGTTGGCTACGGCGCCGTCGTACGCGGGTGCGGCTTCGGCCGCGGCTGCGTCTGCTGCTATCTTTGCCTGGACCGCATTTGCACTGATGGATCCATCAAGGCCCTAACTCCCACGCTCCTTCCTCTCGCTTCCTCAACTATTTGTTTGACTGCACTAGCGTTCTCTTCCCCGAGACGCGGGTGCACAAGAAGACTGAAGACTTTGCACGCAGGGGACGCTCAGCGCCCGTCCCCTGCTTCCTTTCGAATTCAACAACGCCTTCCACAAACAACGTTTTCCTTCTGAACGCTACATTTTTCGCGCATACCCTTGGAGGCTGTTTGGGGTGCTCAGTAGGATACTGATCTACGGGGCCTCCGGGGGTTACGTGGATGATGTTTGTGTATGATGGACATGATACGTGCGGGGCCCCTCGTGCCTCCGCAGTGCATGCCACTCTCTAATCAACCAAAGGTCTTGAGTCAACCTCCTTTCTCTTTCGGCCTCTGACGGGCTACCGCACCCAAACAGGGGCAGAGTGGTTATTTTCGGCGCCCCCCCCACCCCCCCCCCCCCCCGGGGTTTGCCAATCGGGGTTGGGATTTTGTCGCTGGGCAACGACGTTGTAAAACAAGCACTCCCCTCGGTGTTTGCCGTCGGGATTGGGTTTGTTTTCGTCGCTTGGCAACGACGTTGAAAAACAAGCCAATTCACTTCGTGAACTCGGCAACCAGGTTGCCGTTTTTTGTTTTTTACCTCTGTTTTTATTTTTTTGCGGTAACCATAATGGTGGTCGAGTAGATCATGTTGTGCGGGGTCGATAACCCTCACTCCGCGCAAGGGGGATGATCGCACCACGTTGTGTTATAATGGTGAAGCATCCTCGAGGCAGTTAGTTACACAGTGCTTACAACTGTCTCTGGAAGTGAAAGCTCCAGGAAATAAATTAAGTCATACATACGCAGCTGTCGTCCGTACCCAAGGGAGTAAGCACAAGATGCCGAACACCCTTAGCAGGATGCAGCGCACCCTTCATGCGACTCGCCGAATATCTCACGGAGCTTCGCGGTTGGTGATGTGACATATTCATGACGTGGACACATCAGGGACTCGCGCTCGCTCGGACGCTGGTGAAGGAAGAAAGAGATAGGCCGAATTGTTTCGAATCTCAGAGCGCTTGGAGCAAAAACACTACTGCCAGCCTGGCTCCGCAAGAAACACAAGCTGACAAGATGTCAACAACGGCGAAGTATACTATCATTACACCAGTAGCTCCGACGCGCGAGTTTCTTCAATATCGCCCCAAAACAACCAAAACCCGGATCGCGTGACACGGGATGACGCGGACACAGCTCGCAAGCTGGTAAACATAAAGAGAGATTGTAGATCCAACTGCTTCGAACGTCAGAGCGTTTGGCGCAGAAGCAACACCCTGTTTCCGCAAGAAACGCACGGCGAAGATCTCACAACCGCCAAGACAGCAGTGGGTCGGGCCTCGCGCACGAATAATGCGGCGAAACTAACCCTGAGCTCGTGAACCACAGTCCCGCGGCCTGTGATTGGCCGAGCTGTGGTTGATGTCATCTGGATGGCGGCTGTTCGACCTTCTCTCCGAATTGACAGCCCACGCCCCCTCCACCTTCGCTCACTCCGTTTTCTGCCCACCACATCCTACACCTTTCTCTTCCCACCACCTCCTCACATCAAGATGAAGTCCTGCGTTGTAGCCGCTGCCTGCGTGGCCGGAGCCCAAGCCTTCGTGGCACCCAGGTGAAAGCTGTTGTTTCAGCTTGCTGGATCACTACCTCTCGTACTTGTATTCTACCCTTCCTTTTCTCCCACGCGCTTTTTCTAGCAGCGGCTCGGTAGCAGCGGCTCGGTGCGTATGGTGTGGGGACAGCGAGTTGTATCAACTAAATAATCTTGGGTCAGAACCCATCTGCATGTGCGTACGTGCTAACTCGTATGATACCTCGCTCGTTGCAACACACGAGGCCGTCTTGCCACAACGACCCGAGTTTCATTGCTCTGAGATAAGGAAGGCTGTTACACACTGCTGACGACGCTCGGGTTTGAAGATTCACGAGGCTCCGTCGATTTCACTGAACACTCCAAGTCCCCCAACGTATCTCACGTGTCAGCTGTTGTTGAACCTCTGGTTTCGCGCGGATTTCGCGAACAGGAGCACCTCGCTTTTTTGTTCTTGTCTTTTTCATGTGTTCGCGGACATCTCAACACCCTTTTCCCACTGCTCTTTATTATGCATACAAATCGGCATCTATGGAGCCACAAACCAGCGTTTTCCGCATCTCCTCTTGCGGTGCTTGCCTTCACTCGACGAACATTCGAACCCATTCGGAGCTGCGTAGGGACTACAGTAGTTCCTATATGCTACACATGAAGGCAAAAAGATTTTGAAGGTTGCACGAGGCCACCAGACGAGCTATTTTTTCATCCAGTCCGGTAAGCGTTCCACGATCTCACAACGGTAATCCAATTAGCATGCCCGAACAACCACAATGATCCCAACAGCTTCCTTCTACACCTCCCAGCATAGCGTACAGAGGCAGAGAGATACACGACGGCTACGAAACTGTCTCGCTGAGGCTGTTACCCACAGCGGAGATATCGCTGTATGCTGCTCGGGGCTTTCGCAGAAATACAGGTAGCTTCCGCTGACGCTATGAATGCGTTGCGTCTATCGTAGACTCACTCTTTTCTACAGATAAGGATGGGTTCGTTGTGTCTTCTAAGAAAAAAAACAAATGGATGGTTACACCTTTCCCATGGCGAAGCTTTTCGTTCCCCACAACGGAAGACGTGAAATAGTTGCCACACAGGGCCCTGTCACGATCGAACGCCTCTGTTGTACTTACATACAATTGTTACGCATTCCGCTCACGATTACTTGCCCCTTTCATGCTGAACGTCAGGTCCTTTGGAAATATTCTTGAACTTAGTGAGAGGGAGTTTGAAATGATCCGCCAGTGCCTGCTCTCAGCTTTTCAATCTGCTTGAAATAGTTTCCAGAATCTAATCCCTGTCCCCGTTTCACTTTTTCCCTCTCCTCCCCTTTTCCCTGTTTTCCCCCACTTTCGACCACCCCCACCAACTAAACACCACAGCGCGTTCAACGGCGCCGCCGTCGCCACCCCGGCCAAGTCGTCCTCGGCCATGAAGATGTCGTTCGAGTCGGAGATCGGCGCGCAGCCCCCCCTCGGATTCTGGGACCCGCTCGGCCTCCTCGAGGACGCGGACCAGGAGCGGTTCGAGCGCCTCCGGTACGTGGAGGTGAAGCACGGGCGCATTGCTATGCTCGCCATCGCCGGTCACCTGACCCAGCAGAACACCCGGCTCCCCGGCATGCTCTCGAACTCGGCGAACCTGTCGTTCGCGGACATGCCGAACGGCGTGGCCGCTCTGTCGAAGATCCCCCCGGCGGGCCTCGCCCAGATCTTCGCGTTCATCGGCTTCCTTGAGCTGGCTGTGATGAAGAACGTGGAGGGCTCGTTCCCCGGAGACTTCACCCTGGGCGGCAACCCGTTCGGGTCCTCGTGGGACGCGATGTCGGAGGAGACCCAGGCGTCGAAGCGCGCGATCGAGCTGAACAACGGGCGCGCGGCACAGATGGGCATCCTGGCCCTGATGGTGCACGAGGAGCTGAACAACAAGCCGTACGTGATCAACGACCTCCTCGGCGCGGGATACACCTTCAACTAGATTTCTAGTCCGTGCGTCGTTCAGACCTTTTGCACCGGTTTTGTTGCTGGGCGCGCTTTTGTGAATAGCGGTGCCGTGTTGTGACTATGTTTTATTAGATTTTTTTGTTTAGAATTCTGCGATGGGGGGAGGGGGAGCCTCTTCCTTCCTAGACCGAGAACCGGATGATGTTTTGGCGCCGCGGCGTTCTATTTTGATTTAGGCTCACAGAAACGGTGTCATGTCGACGGATGTAGAAAATACCGACCGTGTATTCCGTGGTTGGTTCGTGCGGTGCACCCTCGTGCGTGAGGCTCGCGGTTCCTGTTCGGAGGCGAGGGTGCTAGGAGATTGGGGCCCATGTTGTTGGTGGTGTTTAGTGCCGACTGCGCCTGGCGTTGCGACGCTTGACATTGTAGATGGCGCCGGTAGATGCTGTTGCCCGTTTTTCTCTGTTGGTTTTGTCGAGTCGTCGTGTCAGGCTTGGCCATGATGCGTACACTGGAGAGGCGTGCTGCGTCGATCGTAGTTGTTCTCGCTTTGCACCTTTTTGGAACTGAACTGGCGTCTGTGAATGAAAACAAAGCTTTGAACCGAACACCGAAACAAGCTTGCACTGCTGCTGTGCTTGCAAATGCTGTCGATGTGTTTTTGATTGGTGTAGTCTGTCGATGATGGTGCTTGAAGTGTAGCACATCTCCTGCAGATGCACCAGCACGTGAGGAGGATTTGACTGAGAACAGATTGTCTTGGATGCTTGGTCCATGGGCTGTGCCCTGCCATTCACGAATCGACCGTTAATCGACTGTTTGTGAAACAACTTACTCATCACGAAGGGATTTCCGCCTCTCCCCTCCCTTGTTATGTCCGGAGGGCGAACACATGAATGGAGCGGGTTAATAGTGTGCCATATTTCGCACATGACATGCTGTTGCGCCCGACAACGTCTAGATGCTTCGTATTGGCGACCTTGGTCCGAAGCGTAAGACAACAACACGTACGCGCCGTTGACGTTGTGGACACATGCACCGGGCAAGCTTCCTGAGGCACATCGTACACCGTGATAGAACAGTGTCTTGACACCTGGTGGTGGAACTCCCGTGATGAGTTTTTTTCTTTTTTCACTTGAGGATAACTTCGCATGCTCCCTCCGTGACGTGTACAGATAGAGCCCGCAAGAGTTTTAAAGAAAAGTTGCGTTAGGAAAAAAGGCTAAGGCCACTTGTTAAGCTGTCCTTTTTTGGGCTGTCTTTTTCTCAAAAAGGGACAACTGGCCAAAGAACCACTTGTTAGTTACGTTGTCTTTTTTTGCATTTTTGGACCTTCGAAAAAGGGACAGAAGAAAGACAGCGCCGTCCTGTCTCTTTTCGGGCAACTTTGCGACAGTATGGGACTGTCTTTTTTTGTTGCCCTTTTTCTGTCACATGACACGACACTTGCCCACAAACTTGAATATCTCGACGGATGATCCCCGCGAACTCTAACGGTATTCGCACGAGTCGTGTCATGTGACTGGTACGGAGTCAGTAGCCTCGGCGATAGACGCAATGTTGTCATTCGGCTGACCAGGTGGACAACCCGATGTGTGCGGCAAACAAGCGGCAAACGAGCCGAAAGAGCCTGGACGCACCACCAGCGGTGGGTCTTTTTGGTGCACAGTCAACTTTTGCGAACCCAACTTCTGGGCGACCTATAGCGTCCTGGTCTGTATCAATCACCACACAAGACGAATCAGACGCACAGCTCATGGCGGATACCTTTGTCATCGCTGTTGCTTCGGTGTGTGACGAGGGAGTATCGATGAACCAAAGTTGCAACACGAGAAAAAGAACAAAAAATATGCTTGGAGACGCGGCGGGTCATTTTTCCCGCTTGTCCACCACTCTCGCGCTCACAACCTCTGACCGCCCGTCAGCCTCCTGGTCTGTATCAACCACCACGCAAGACGGACCATACACATCATAGCTCGTGGCGGATACCTTTGTCATCGCTCGCTGTTGTTTCAGTGTGTGGCGAGGGAGCATCCATGAACCAACGTTGCGACATGGGCAAAAAATAGCAAAAAAAGCTGGTTGTTGGCGCGGTGGGCTTTTTCAAGGTGCTGTTGACTCTCGCCACCTCAGTTGCCGTGCCTCCCACTGCCCTGTGGTCTCGATCAGCCGCCACACAAGGCGGACCAAGCACCCAGCTCGCGGGGGATAGCTTTACAGTTGCTGATGCTTCGCTCTGTGCGGAGATATCACCGAAAAACCAACTCGGTGCCAAGGTACTTATTGTGTGACGAACGGCCGTTGGTTGCACTTGTTGCAGGGTCATTTGTTTTGGCGGATGAGCAAAAAGGATCGACCAGCACCGTAACAAGGGGGTCATCTTTTTGCTAGATTATTTTTTGGTTCGTCCCTTTTTGAGAAAAAGACAGCCCAAAAAAAAGACAGCTTAACAAGTGGCCTAAGCTTTGAAATACGAAGAAAGGGCCAAGAAACATAGCTCGATCTCGGCCACAAGGAAGGTTAGAAACGCCCCAATAACCAAGCATGGTGCGATACCCCCCATGACACCAGCAATCTTCGGTGCTTCCACCCCCCTACCTAGCTGAATAGGGTTGGTGTTTTTTGTAGGGTCTTCGCGAAAACAAATTCCGGACACATAGCCCCCGCCCCCCCCTCCGGAGGGGGGAGAAATTCGAAAAATTACCACGAGTCGTCGAAAGTTACCATGAAGTTAGATGGATTGCAAACATGCCTCGCTCTCGTTACCCCTTCCGTATATATATTTGCTCATCAGAAGCCGGCCCACGCTCACCCAGCCGTGCTACAGGAACACGTACGGTAGCGCCCCGCATCTACACAAAAAGTGCAGTACATCGACAAAAGCTCGATATGATGAGCGACGCAGCTCACATTTAACCACCATGCAACACAACGACCTGCCTTGCAAACTTCTTGCCCTTGTCGCTTCTGGCACTGCACAACAGCGAACATAGTCTCGCAAAACTACTCGCAGCCTTAGCCTTGTAGGGTTACGTTTGACTTGATCAATCTACCCCGCATACTCATGCGTACGCCTGCTTGGGAGTTCTCGCGCAGTGTCTCGCTACGATCTCTGCGAGAGAGAGCATATTGGTTAGGGTAAGGGTTGGGTTAGAGAGCCTGACGCCAAAGCGCCCACGCCTCGGCGTAAAACCCGGGTGTACAGGGGTATATGTCCCCTCCCCCCCCACGCCCCCCCCGGTGTTTGCCATCGGGGTTGGGTTTTCGTCGCTTGGCAACGACGTTGTAAAACAAGCCGATTCACTTCGTGAACTCGGCTACCATGTTATTACCGTTTTTTTTTTCACCTCTGTTTTTTTTTTGGCGGTAACCATAATGAATGGTGATTGAGTAGATCATGTTGTGCGGGGTGGAGAAACCTCACTCCGCGCAAGGGGGATGATCGCACCACGTTGTGTTAAAATGGTCAAGCATCCTCGAGGCAGCTACACAGTGCTTACAACTGTCTCTGGAAGTGAAAGCACCAGAAAATAAATGAAGTCATACGCAGCTGTCATCCGTACGCAAGGAAGTAAGCACAAGATGCCGAACACCCTTAGCAGGATGCAGCTCACCCTTCATGCGACTTGCCGAATACCTCACGGCGCTTCGCGCTTGGTGACGTGAGAGCCTGGTCCGGTGAGAACCCGGCGTGCTCCGTCCCGGCTTTGTAGGGATGCGATGCCAATGTCTAACGACTAGGGCATGCACGACTATGAGTACCCCCCCCCCCCCCCCCCCCCCGAGGAAAGAAAACCCCCAAAAATTGGGGGAGGGGATGTGTAAAAGAAAGAAAAAAAAGATCTCTAGGGGGAAAAGAGAAAAAAAGGGGGTGATATGGAC